ATTAAGATGGACTGAGATGAGTGGATGAAATCTAAACGGGGATTAAGAGGTGAATTTTCCAAGAGGAGTCAACTTTGGAAGCAAAGACACAAAGAAAAGCACAGAATATGTCTCAGAAACAGTGCAGTTTGGCTGGTGCATAGGTGAAAGGTAAACTCTAAGAAAGAAGATGGGGAAGGCATTATGAGAAGACTTGCATGCAAATTATTGAAGGTTTCAGAAGTAGGAGGTGTCATGTTTGGATCACAGCTTTGGGAAAGTTAATTGAGCACAAAACAGGACTGATGGGAATGTGGAAAACTAGGAGGTGAGATCAATTAGTATTTTCTTACAAAAGTGTAGTCAGGAGCAATGAGGGCCTGAATATGTGACAGAGTTTGGAATGGAAAGGAGGTGGATGTGGTTTAGAATGTAGTATATAACTTGGAAGTAAATTTAATGGGATGGGCTAAGAAGGAAAGGAAGCAATGGAAAGGAAGGAACAAAAGATGACTCTGAGGTTTCATTTTATAGCTCTAGAAGAATGGTGTGCCCCAATGGGAATCATACCGTGACCTCCTGGTTCATAGGTCGATGCTCAACCATTGAGCAACACCAGCCAGGCCTGGCTAACTACTCTTGCCCTAACTCCTTCACTGCCTTGATTTAATGTCAGCCCTCAGCTTCTTTTAGAATGGAAGAAAATTCCTCAGGATTCTTGAAGCTCTGTGCTGGCTCCTGTGAACATTCTAAGACATAACCATATTTTCTAGTGCTAAACATTTATATCAAGTCCTGTAAGGAATAAAGCAAAATAATATTTTGGTTTTCTAAAATTCAGTAGAGATATTTGCTTGTGTTATGAAAATGCACATTAACTTTAGATTTTAAATAAAAGAATTACTAATGATATGTGATAAACTATAAACTCTAATCTAGTTTCTTGGTTTTTCCCCTTGACATAAAAAAGATTAGAAGTTCACCGTGTAAAACAGAATAAATTGGAATCTGAACATATAAAAAAATTTAAAAATTATAAAAACCATAGATTCTTGGTGACTTATGTCAATAAATAAAGCAGAACTTTGTTAGGAATTAATCAATGCTTGTTTGCTTTTTGATGTTAGAAAATTAAAATATCAGTTAATGTTTTTGAATACTTTATGAAGCTTTGTGGTGTTAGTATTCTGATATTTTGTGTTGGCACCACAATTTAAATTAGATGATTGTTTTTATTATAATGTTTTTCAAACTTTAATGTACAGAGGAATCACTTGGGAATTGGTTACACAGATTCTAATTCTATGGGTCTGCAGTTAGGCCTGAGATTCTAATAAACTCTTTGATAAGATGCATGGATCACACTTTGAGTAGTAAGGATTCAGGGACAACTAGGGTAATCTTGTTTAGGTTACTCATTTTTATTATCATTTTATTAAATTAAGTTTTTTTTTATTATTTAACAACTAGTGCTATATTTCCTCATGGAAAAGAATTTAAATATTTTATTGCAACCGAATTATTTTAATCTACAATGCCTCATTATTAAGTATAACTTTTCAGTTATATAACTTACTTCATTCTTTTTTCATGAGTTGCAACATAATGTAATAAGTAATCTCAAGTAAGAGTGTCATCTTTATGAGTTGATTTCATCAATGTTTCAGACAAAAACAAGTTTAATTTTTTAGCTAAAAACAAAAATGGCATTGCTATTCTGGTTGAGGTGATGAAGACCTGGCATAACACTTGAGTGGGCAGAGCTATTAAGTTTTTACATGTTAAATCCCTGTGATGGGATATCAGTGGGAAATGATTAATTAAGAAAAAAATTAAAAGCAATCAAAATTGAAGATAAGGATATGCAGTTGTATTTGCAAGTGTTACGGTTGAGCAGAAATATTATTTCTTGACATTATTTGTCTGGTACAAAGTTAAGGACTGTTTATAGTTGGGGAAATGTCACAGTATTGTTTGTATCATGCTTAAGGAGTGGTGTCTAATCTTGGTGGCATGCTTATTAGGTTTTGTTTTCCTCTGCACAGTGCAGTAAAACCCAAATCAGAGGTCTCTTAGTGGAGTTAGCCACTCACAGTAGATTGCAAAACGGGGATACAGGGTCACTTGAAAAAAAGCCCTATGCTATACATTCTGGGATATGAGAAGAAAGATTTTAAGCTTATTTTATGCATTATACTAGTAGATCTGCAAACTTATCAAATCCGCATAACTTTTATCTTCTCTTGACAGTTATTTTGGCCTGATAGAAGACATATTGGGCTATAAGACATTAGTGATTAGAGCAAGGAGGCAGAAAATGTTACTGAAATGAACACCTGCTGGGAGCAGGGGTAGAAAGCCCTGAATGGAACAGTAACATCTGTGGTCAGCAAGGACAGAGATGTCAGAGTCAAAAGGTTCTACACAAACAAATAAGCTGTTTTGTAAACAACATTGGGGAGGAGGGCGTATGGTGAACACTAGTGAATGTAGTGTATTTGCTCACATTTGTAATGCAGTACAACTTAATCCTTTTATGGATCTAGACAGACCTTTATTGTAGGACTATTTCTAATGCATGACCCTTCTCTACTGAACAGTTCTAGTGAATGCTCTAGGTATTCAACAAACTCTCTCCATTTGGCTGGTGGAAATTCAACTATCTCCCTTATCTGCATGATCACTGGGAATTGTTTAGTTCCCTGAGTGTTTGGCTTTGCAGAGTTCTATCCTGCATATAGTACAGTTTTATATTCAAACAAGGACAAGAGAAGAACCCTATTTAGATACCTGGAGCTTTTTACACACAGCTCCCTTCTCTCTGATAGTCTTCTGTTCTAAGCACAACTCCTTGCATCTCCCTGTGCTCATCTTGTTTCTTTCTCCTCCCAGAAATGGTCTGTAAACTTTAATGGCAGAGGCAATGGTAGAGGCACTACATTTGTTTCCCTTCTCTTAGGGATCACAGCTTTACACTACTTTCCAATGTTTGAAAACAGGTGGGGTTCTCCCCGAAATATTTTGTCCAGTTGTCTAGTTGTTTATCATGGGAAGGCAAGTCGCATTGCTGAAAGAACAAGTCTGGAACAGAGTTTTTCTCCAGCCATTTTAGCTTTTTAACAATTCTTCAACAACAACAAAATCAAGTTAATACTTGCCTTAAGGCCTTTGCAATTGTACTTAGAAGTCTTCTCTTTAGTCTCTACAAGCTGCCTTCTTCTCATTCTTTACCAACCAAAATAAGCCTTTCTTTTAAAAAAATATATTTATTGGTTTCAGAGAGGAAGGGAGAGGGAGATAGAAACATATATGATGAGAGATAATCATTGAAAGGCTGCTTCCTGCACGCCCCCTACTGGGGATTGAGCCTGCAACCTGGGCATGTGTCCTTAGGCAGAATCAAACCTGGGACCCTTCGGTCTGTAGGTCGACACTCTATCCACTGAACCAAACTGGTTGGGCCAAAATAAGCCTTTCTTGGCTACATTATTTAAGGTCACTATTTATCATATCAGTTCTTTTTTCTTTCCTTTTATAGAATTTATCACAGTCTGTAATTATCTTTTCTATATATATAAAATGTCTCCCCTCCCCTTGCTATGGAAGTCCTCTAAAGAGAGAAACCTGTCGATTGTACTCCCATATTCCTTGACTTCCTGAATGGGTACCTGGCACTTAGGAGGGAGCCAGCAAACATTTCCTTAATGTAAGTTTTAGTAAAGGTAGTATCTAGCCATATATTCTGAATTATAAGGTAAAGAGGTGCTAAATAACACAGTACCAAAGGTCTACACACTAGAGTAGGTTATGCTTATATCTTTCCATATAATCTTTTTCTTCATGTATTGAATCCATGATGTTCACAGGGAAAAAAAAATAACTTCAAATTCCAGATATTTAGCTATGTTTGGTATTGGTCTCTACTTCATACGTTATCTAAATATACTCTATCCTTATTAGTTGCATTATACATATTGTCTATGACAATTCATTTGAAATAGAGATGGATAAATATTTTCTCAACATGAACTTGAAATACCAAATTGGTTTGGTTGTGTCTGAGTTTGGACTGCTATAACAGAAATACTATAGACTGGGTGGCTTTAACAACAAATTTTACTTTATATGGTTCTGGGGTCTAGGAAGCCCAAGATCAAGGTGAAAGCACTAGCAGATCTGATGTCTTGTGAGGACACTGTCTCTCTCCCTAGTTTGCAGAGAGCCGTATTCTCATTTTCTTGCAGTATCTTCACATGGGGCAGATGATCTTACTCATGTCTTTTCTTGTAGGGACATTAATCCTATTAATGAGGGCTCTATCCTCATGACTTAATTACTTTCCAAAGGTGCCACCTCAAATATTACTACATTAGAAATTAGATTTTTTTTTTGTGGGGAACGCACAAGCATTCAGTCCATAGTTGGTGGAGAATATAATAGTTTGTATAATGGTGTGCGTAAATATTATGTGCCAGTTTTAAATTTGACATTGAAGGGCTGGCCTGCTTCAGTATGAAATAACTATGTTTATGTTAATGATTTTAATTCTGAAGAGATAGAAATATAGCTGACCTAAATAGTTATGCAGTACTTAGTTTTACATTCTCTTAGGTACTTTTTTTTTTTTTATTAATCATCCACTTCACTAAAATGTAGGTCTGCATTAAAAAAAAAAAAAGCCTGTCCATGATCGTGGAATTTGATATTCTCGTAGTATTATTGGTTTATA